TACTTGTTTAAGGTCACGGATGAGAGGGACGAGACGATGGAGCAATCGCACTGTATTGGCTCAAGCGTTGATCGTGCATGATTCACTGGTATCAGCGGAGGGGGACAAACACACAATACACATACAGAGGCGTACGCGTGCTAGCACGATAAACGATCAATATGTATTTCATGGGAATTGAGGTGTGACTGACCGAAGCCCATCCCACAACCGACCCCCGCACTTTAACGGGAGGTAGAGAAATCGGAGTTGCGTGATCGTCATCCAGAACGCGCTGGGAGGCTTCTCAGCACCGGTGAGATCAATGTGACAGCTTGAAATAATTCGGGGACAGCTTGAAATACTCGCAGGACAGTTTGAAATGATTCCCGGACAACATGATATGATACTGGGACAACTTGACATGAAAAAGATATAGACATGGGTCCGAAATGGGGGTTACGTGGGTGGCGATGAATGGCTTGCTAGAAATTAGGTCATCGTATTCTGCACCTTTACTCTGACGCTCACGTATCCAATATGATTGAGAAAACGCCGACACGTTCACACAGTCGCGACTGATCCAAATCCGGTTCTGATTCATACAGTGAGAATTTTTAGGAAAAGGTTAGGCTTCTCCTGACAAAGGTGCGCTGAGGTAGGCCATCATCGCACATACGGAAAACGTGCCCTAACCAACGGAGCCTACTGAGCTGGATTCGATGAGAGCGAGTTCTTGTCTGATGTATTCTCAAACACCCGAAGACATACATTTAAGTTACTAACCCGCTCACTCCATCCCACCTGGGCCAGACTACTTAAGCATCGATTGTCGAACACTGCTAAACGATGGGTGTCTTCTATCCGCAAATTCAAGGTCACACAACCGTAAAGGCAGACTGATTAGACATGTCTTTGAGTTTTAACTGCAGCTTAGACTTCGCAGTATAGGAGAGACAGATTAACTGGGAGACTGACAGACACAAAAAGTAGTATATGAATGACTAAACAAAATTCCCCAGACGCGCACGGCTGATTTGGCGGTCCTTGCCGCAAGGATCAGTCTTAAAGGCTTGTCTGACTCGAATCAACTCACGGAGCTTCAAATGAGATGTGCGTTATCGGATACAAAAATTGTAAACGAATAAAAGAAACGTAAATAAATGAGCTGATTATTTTCGGTTAACCACTGGTCCTTTTCAGTCATCACAGAACAATGTCACTCTCATCTCGTCCGATTTCATGAGTGCTGTAATGAAAACATGGAATAGATACATCCCTGTACTGCCACCGTTTTAGATAGAACACAAAGTCTTCTCTGACCGGCCCGTTTTTTGTCTGAATTGAGTCCGTACTACAATGCTATTCAGAACCGTTTCGTAATTTTGATTTGATTAGAGCGTATTTTGCATTGATATTACCTACGAAGATGTCATGCGTAGACAATGTAACGTTGACGACTGGAAAGTCGCCTCGTCTAGGTCATATTTACTTCGGTAAGTTCAGTTCAGTTAATGCACCGATTTTTGTTCGATGTCTTTGACCTGCCCATTTGAATAAAGGAGCAATCAGTAGACACACAGAGGCCACTGTTTATCCCAATTAGCCATATCAATCAGTGTTTCTAACCACCGATTACGATGATCCCGTGGTCTCCATCCAGGGACCAAGCCTTATTTTGACCACTCGACTTTTTTCCACCCACTACCTGTTTCGACAAACTTCACGCGATGTGGCAATCTATTTGATGAAATGCGTAACACGCCCCAAACAGGGGGAGATGGTAATTATCTAAAACTCTGCGCCCAACCAGCAGCATGGTTTGTCCAGTTTCTCCATCTGACTCGTGTCGTGCAGGTCAGACGGTGATTGTCGAACACTGACAGTTTGTCTTTACCCTGCTCCCTTATCGAGTCAAGGAATTAGTAATTTAAAACCAAGAAAATAAATGATTTTTTCATTGAATTTTGTGTTGTTGAAAGGTTCGTTTTTACATTCGTACACCCATATAGGGTTGGAGGGGTCTCTTCAATCTTTTGCTCAAATGATTAGCGGCTCACCGCTAGCGTAGTTAATGACACAGTCGAAGCGTATTTTTAAGGTAGAAATATGCATTCTAAGAGTTGAGAATGAAGAAATCATGAAACGGATTATTGCATGCAACTGGAATTGTTTGTCCATATATCCTATCCTCCATAATCTTTAGTAAATGAATAAACTGGAGCAAATAAAAGTGGATAATAATGGTTTATTCAGTTGAATCAGGTTGAACTTAAATACACATAAGTGGTTACAAATTTTTAAATGGCAAAAATTCATCTGTCACTCCCCTTGAAAATGATCTGCTTTCTTTCAAGTTAATCATGTCTTTTTTGCAGTCTGGATCAATCAATTTCACTGAGTGACCGAGACACCGGTGGCACATTTGTCCTCCACGTCGAGGACACACGGGGTCTGTCGGGGGGAGTAAATACTACGTGGATTGATCCTGGTTCTAACGTTCGGCTGAATTATTCCACGTGTGACAAATTCCAATCCATATTGGAAAAGTCTACTTCTCAGTTGAACAAAGTACTGTGTGAAACTCGTGAACTGTTTGAGTCCACTATTCCAGTTGAATTCAGACACTACTTTGCACAAACATCACCTGTTGTGGGGTTAGCAGCGGAACCGGTGTTTCATTCCGTGCAAGATCCTGTGACAATGAAGCTGGATGCCGAATGCACAGACATGGAGCCGAATTTGAGTGTTCAGCCGGAGCGGTATGCTGCAGACGGATTATTTGAGTGAGTTCAAAAACATGTCAGCTAAGGAGTGCGTTTTGAAATTATGAAACACATTTAGTTTCAGTGAATTCACTTTGAAGTCTTTACAATCCCATTTATATGGACTAAAATTCAGTGTGGTAGTGAGTCCGAGAAAAGTGCAAATTGGGACACTGTTTGGATCGCGTAATCAAAATTTATTATGTTACCTTATGGCCATGTGAACAAGCTATTTTTTCTTTCCTTGGCCAAGGAATCTTGACATCTTTAGTCAATTTATGCTGATACGCTCAGATCAGGATTCAGATTTTGGATGCCAATCACCTTTGCTCACATCCGAAACGAGACTGTTCTCGAGAGGTATGGTGAAACTCGATACATGATTGTGCCTTTCAACAAAGTGTCTCGCCTCTAGCAAATGAGCGGTAATTGAGCCTGACACAGCTCCCTACTGAATTTTGTTCCACATCAATGTGATTGTAAAGGCTTGAAAATGAATTCACCTGCAATGTGTTTTCTTGATGAATGTGTGGTAAATTATTTAATTTTATATATTATATTATATTTTTACACACCTATGAATCCAGACTGTGTGCCACACAAATCATGGTACAATAATCTTTATAAAAAAAAGAAAAGCTTTCCATGATTTGCATGCGGACGGAATACTGCCAGATTGCCCAGGCCAAGACAGGTGAATCTTCTCGAGGAATCCACAATCGGAGCCTTTGGCTAACCAAAATCTGACCCGGAAGGCAGCGGGACGGTGTGCGAAAACCGCAATCCATTGGGGGTCGGTGTCCAGTTCATCGGATCATTCGCCCTTCGGATGGGGTCAAACTTCGATGCCCAATCGAGCCGGTGACCACTGCCACATCTAGAAAGCTGTGTGTGGTTCGTACGCCTCCTCATGGTTGGTTTGGAATCAGGGTTTTTGACCAGCTCTCCTAGGTTAACTACCAGTGGTCCATCAACTGGGTTATAGCCCCGGGTATTGGCTTTTGGTCCTCTCATTTTGGTGGGAAACACCTCTACCACGAGAAGGCAGTGGGTAGAGCATCTCAAATAACATCTACAGAGTAAACTCTACTCACTGCCTTCCTGCGATGGAAGTGTTCTTCCACTCGAGAGCGCGAGACAGAGAGTACAAACAGCTCAGATCAGGGTCAGGTAACCGAGTCCGTAAACCGCTGACAGTTCACCGACAGCGGTGGACTGAAAACCCTGATCCCAAACCAATCCCAAATGAGATCCAGACTTGCGGTCAGTTGTGCACACCAGGCAGTTCACGCTTGTATTTCTGTTCGAGGAAATCCGTGAACACACTGGCAGAAATGTACTGGTTTGTAAGCGAATGAATGTATTCTTGTAGACATTTACAACGCTCTGAGTGGAAAAGAAATACGGTATGCGTTTTGTATCTTCAAAGTGTAAAATGTTACTACAAGATTGCATCAGTCCTGCACCCAACCTCACTCTAACAGGAGAAGCAATAGAATAGGTGGATAAGTTTTGTTATTTGGGCAGCTACATCTCACCCGGTGGACACATCACGGATGAAGTGT